CAGAGACGTGTACTTGGCGGCATTCTCTCTCTCCTGTTGAGCCCGCCTCTTCATGGCCTCCCTCTCTGGCCTCTGCTCTTCTGTGATGGGCTGTGAGATGACTGGCCCTAGAATGTCAACTTTCCCCCATGGAATTGGTTGGCGGCTGAAGTCTTGCAGCAGATGTTGGATTTGAGGTTTGGGAGGTGATGGGGCCTTGTTCTTGTCAGCAGAGGCAAGCTCCCTCTGTAGTGAAGGGTGAGATGATGCCCTGTAGGATACTGGCCTATGGACAGCTGGCTGAGGCCCAGTGCAAGACTGGATGGGGTTGGTTATGTTATCTAGTGTGGCACTGGTAGCAATAGGCAGAACTAGCTTGTCAGAGGCCATCAAAGAAGTGCTGGCAGGAGCTGGTTTAGATGGCTTGGGTGTGGTAGACTGAGCTGAGTTAGAATGAGGTCTCACAGGGTACAGTGTAGGGGTCCCATGTGAAGCCAGGGAGAGAGGCTTCTTAGAAACCAGTCTGGCTTGAGGCTTGTCCAGGGCTGGAAAAGGCAGAGGTACTAACTTCACCTTGCCAGGAGGGGGCAGCTCATACTGGGATGGAGATGGATGACACTCCCTGTGAGCATTGCTCTCTGGTCTCTGAGCATTGCTCGGGGTTTTGCCAGGGCCTCGGCCATCACATGGCACATCCAGAAGTGATGTGGTGGCTGGGCCTGCCCTGGGATCTTTGTTGCTGCTGAAGTTTAGCCGAGCCCGGGAGGAAGAGATGCCAGTTTTCTTCTCACTCTTCTTCCCCAGTCTGTGAAAGACTTGCACGGATTCTAGCATGTGCATGCCGAGGCGAGTTCGAGGCTTTTTAAAGCTGTTGTGGCTGAGCTCAGGTGGATTCCTCTTCCTCTTGTTCTTTGGCATGGTGGTGTTTTCATCTGCCTTGACTCTGTTCCTTGACTGCTTGAGCTCCTCTGTTTTCTTGCAGTTGTTTTCTCTGGATCTCTTGGTCTTGTCTTGCCCCTGAGTCCTTGCTCTGCTGGGCGTGCTGGGTATGGCTTTCTGGGCTCTGCCCTCCAAGTTCTTAGGCATGTTGTCAATAGCCCCTTCACTGGACCCAGCACTGCCCACAGCCTCTTCTTCCTTCACCAGGTCCTGGAGCTGGATTCTGGCCTGAGGAGACCCATCTAGCATCTCAGAGGCTTTCTGGCCATTCTTTCTCACTTGGTCCATGGGTACACTGATGGTGCTGGAGCTTTCCTGGACCTGATCCCTGCTGATATCTTTGGATTGGGTTGCTGTGGGATCTTGCAATGGGTTCATATCAGTGATTGAGTTGAAGAATCTGGGAAGGTGAGTATCTGCCACCAGTGTAGTCATGTCTGCAAAGTCCATGCTGGAGTCCATCGCACTCTGCAGCACCCCAGGCTCATCCTGACCAAGGCTGCTGCTTCCCAAGGTGGCATTGTCAGGAGAAAGCTTCTGTTTTAGGATCCCTGAATCAGTGTAGTTCAGGGCCTGATGCATGTTGGCATGTGCTAAAGGGAGAAGTGATGGGTCTTGGTTTTCTTTTATGCCCTCATAGGCATCCAGAAGAGTTGATAGATCATGTGTCATCAAATCCAAGTCGTTATTCTCTGTTTGTTCCAAGATTGGAGCAGGAGGCAAGGGCAGGAATTCTGAAGGACTGTCGCTGGGGGCAGTTAATGACCAGTCCCCATGGACAGGTGGTGACTTCTGGACATCCTGTGTGCAGGCATTGCAGAGGTCTGGACTCTGC